GACGTTAACCGAAAAAGGTCGTTAACAATCGACAGACAGTTCTCTTCAATGAACTATCCTACAAGTATGCAGTAAATAGAAGATAAGCTGGAAAGGATATAAGTTGCCTCTTAACATCTTCCAAACCCAACTTCAGATGCTCAGAAGCTAGCTATTAAACAGCAACAGTTGTTTTGTAACCAATCACTACATAAATAGGTGCACAGAATAATTACCTTCTGTAGGTATTTAGTTCTTGCCTTTTGGTACAAAAGAGCTTAGATGACTGATAAAATTCAGCATCTAAAATTGAGAAAGTTAAATGCAAATATCCAATACAGCAGTGAACTCCATAGTAGCTAGCATGCTGCAGTTCCTTCTTGCCCAAAACTCATTTCCATAGATGTGTGCTGCCATAGATCTTAATAATGCTACATTTTCAAGCATCACCTTACTGGGGGTTTCAGTTTCAGTGACTTTGCACCATCCCTCAAAATGGCTGCATGAGTGGCTCTGACTGAGCACCATGGGAGCAGCTCTGGGGAATGGAACTGAGATAGCTTATATCTTAAGACAGAGAAAATATTAATGTAATAGTACCTTGAACATTCTATCTCGGATTAAAATTAGCTGGATACCTATTTTGTCATTCACAGTATCATCTGCATCTTCTAGAAATTCTTGCTCTTCTTTTACCAGATGCAATGATGGACTGTGAAGCAGCTGCTAAACAGGCAAAAAATATTGCTCAGCATGATCACGAAAACAGACAAGTTAACGCCAGCTTTCTTTAGGAGACTGAGTGATAATTTGCAGTTACCTCCCAGGCTGCTGATCCACCTTGGCCACTAGAAGTTGGCATCTCTGAGGACAGATGTGGACAGAAGTCTCTAAAGCTATTCAACCTGTGCCTGTGGTTCTGCATCAGAACCACAGAGCAAGGCAAAAAAAATAATACATGGTGAACTGAGTCAGCCCAAGACACAGCTCAAAAAGAACCCTTATAATTAAAACAGTATATAATTAAAGCAGGCAACGATGATGCTGTAGACATTCCTTTCAACACCGTGGCACAACCTCAATGACTGATTTTCCTGCTTGTGGACTCACCTGCTGCTACAGTCACACTGTCATTCAGAAGTATTTTTTTAAGCAAATTAGTTCTCCTTCAGAACTGGCATCACTTAGAAATACATTTCACAAGCCTTAGACAGAAATTATCTGAAAAACAGTGACTGGTTAGCTAATGCTACATCATTCTACACTATATTTTAGTTTGACTCTGAGCTTACCTATTGCCTTTCATACCAGCCTTACACAAAAAGGCTTTATTTAACCTGACATTTGCTTGCTACTAAGCACTAACATCTCCCATTCAAAAAAATTCCCTCATGCACCTCCAAGTCTTAGTAAAAAATATCAAACACAGAACAGCATACAGATCCATTACTGAACAATACTACTGCAAGTATCCTTTTCAGAAAGAAAGTATAAGCCTGCTTTGCAATCCCTGGGTTCTAAAACATGTCTCTTTCCTAGTGTAACTACTAATAATGTTTTTGATTACACAAAGCATAAAAACTGTGGTCTTTGCACACCAAGATACTTCAGTCTGGAACAGAATTATTACTCCAGTCATCTGATTGCTACCAAATCTTTCAAAGTGCAAGATTAAAACTTTAAGAATTATATAAACTTTTGCCATTAATCAGATCTGTGTAAGCCAAATTCTGATTCTGGACAACAACCTGTTACTTCAATCAAAGCCACTATTTAAACAACAACTCTAAAGATAAATGTTTGGGCATAGTACTTTTTTTTCTTTTCTTTTCTTTTTTTTTTTTTTAAGAGAACCCTATATATGATATTTTCTGATTTTCACAGATGTTAAGTTCAATAATTTTTTACTACAAACACTTAATGGCCTTTTCACTCTATGTTGCCTAACTGAGGTAAGCTAAGCTACTTCTAGAGAAGCGCAAACATGTCAGCTCCAAGGCTAAGCAACTGCTTTAAATACAGGCTCAAGTACAGAAGGGCTCTAGATGCAGAAGATATGACATTAAGCCCAATTTGGACTAAAAAAATGAATACATTGGATAAATGAATGTAAAAAGTTAAGTCTGACATTATCGAGGTGGACTGTGTTAACAGTACCAGTATTGCTAAGGAGTGGTCTATACAGTGCGCCAGAATCCACACAACATGGGCAAGAACATCCTGCACCACTGAGCACAGAATGCTCCCCATACAACCATCTGGATACCATACCTTACTCTGTGTGCTGTCCCACCTCACAGAGAATTAACAGACACATGCTCCAGAGCTAAGAGACAACTGCTAGCACACCTCACCTGACATGCAGTGTGAAGTCTAAAAGCCTTATATACGCCAGTTTATGCAGTGCAGTGAACCAAAGCCAATCTCACAATGCTTTTCACAATCTTTACTTTAGCTGTATTTCACAAACTCACTTGCCATGGAACCACACAAATGCAGAAATGAAAGAGATAAAAACAGAAAAGTAACACTCTTCTTCCAGCTGCAGCACTAGTTCAGCAAGTCTACTGAAGTCAGTGACACTGCACCTGTCAAAAAGGTGTATCTGTGACCCTCAAGGTCAAATCTGGGATGACACATTCATGGTTCAAACTCACCTAAAGTTCCATCACAGATGCACACATTTCTCCAGAATATTAATATAAGTTAGCATCTAAGAACTGAAAAATTTCTGGCTGAGATTATGAGTTAAAAAAAAAACAAAAAAAAAAGAACAAGATGAGATTATTGTGATTTCTGTTCTCATTAAAGAGAACTCACTCACTTGACTGTGACCTCACAACTTGACTGTGCTCATCAGTCGAAAATGATGGTGCTCTGAAAGAGTTTCAAACTGACAACCCCAATTTTCAAAAAACAGGGTTTTTTCAGAACCGTAGGCTTTCTATATACAATACACTGACACCAGGTATTTAGTGGCTACACACTGAAATTCAGTCAAACTGTTAATTCCTACAGAGTTCTCATAATCATTATTTGTTACAACTGGGGAAGATGTAATGTAATCTAGAGCCTGTTTCAACTATATGGCAAACAGCATCATCTTGGCAGAGTAAATTGTGGAACAGAAATGCTTAGGCTGGCAAGGACGTCTGGAGATCACTTGTCTCACCTTCTGCTGAAAGCAGGGGCTTACATTAGATTACCCAGGGCCTCAATGGGCCAAGTCCTTAAGAGAGATCCCACCAGTTTCCCCAAGCAACTTATTCATAATTAACTACTCTAAGTGGGCAGAATGTTTTTCTTACATCCACGGCTTGGGGTAGAAGGGACTGTAAAGATTCAGTTTCAACATGCCTGTCTGATTCAGGCAACTTACCATTCAGCTTGGCCCTAAATGACACCAGGGATGGGACATCCACAATTTCCCTGGACAACCTGTGTGTCACCACACTCTCAGTGAAGTACTTCCTCCTAACATCTAAGATAATGTACCCACTTTTAATTTAAAACCATTCCCCTTTCTCCTGTCACTACCAGACTGTGTAAAAAGTCAGCTTCCATCTTTTATCTAAGCTCCATTTAAATACTGAAAGGCGTGAAGTCTCCCAAGAGCGTTCTCCTCTGCAGGCAGGATTCTCCCTGAAGCAGCTTAGTCTCATAGCCCCTTGTCAAGTCGCCGTGCTCCCTTTTGAAGGCTGCACCTCCACCTTTCTCTGAAACTATTTTCTAGACAATGGAAGGCAGTGATCCTTCTTGAGCTCCCTCTTTTCTAGCCTGAAATTTCATATCTTCAGCATTTCTATGCATGCTAATGTGGTTAATGGTAGCCCTTCATGCTATGATTCCAACAGACATTACACAATGGCTTTCACGCCTAGATAGAGCTTTAAAAAAAAAATCACTCAGGCTTCTTGCTGCTATTTAAATTAAATGACAAAGTACACAGAAACATAAGCTGACACTCAACATATTAGAGCATTGCTTCTCTGAGATCAAAATTCATAATGCTCTTCTTGAATATAAAGTTCCATGTTATTATGCACAACAGCCCACAGTAGTTCTCTTACAGTTGAAAAAGAAGCATGTTTGTGTGAAGTGCACTCTGAATTGAAGGAAGGCTTGATTTTACAGGAAGGCTTGGCCAAAGTCCTTTGACTCCTCACAGAACGACTTCTAGAGATTATGAAGTGTGAAGCGTTTGATTTCGTTGGTCAAATAAGACGCCAGATCCTTTACATATAAAGTTGTTTGTTTTTTTTTTTTCACAAGTTCTGACTGTGAAATTATTTATCTCCCTCTGCCTCAGAAATAACATACTACTTTATGCAAAGAGCTCAATTTGAAACGAACGCATTCAGAGGCCGTGAACGGGTGAATGCTTGGCACTGACATATTTCATTTCTGTTTGAACGCTTTACTCTAGCGAGTGAACACTTAAACGACTTTTGTCACGCTAACGAGCCTCCGCGCTGACAAAAGCCTGGAGTGATTTATCCTTAAATCCGCTTTCAGGGCGGATGAGAAGAACGAGGCACATGCCTGGAAACAGATTACAAAGGATCAACAAGTCTTCCCTCACGGACGCCGGGGCGCTCAGCCCAGCACCGGCCGAACCTGTCCGCTTCGCGGGCTCAGCGTGCCGCACAAGCCTTCCTCACCTCACCTCACCCCACCCCACCGCGCCCACCGCGCCCGCCCCGCCGCCCCGCCGCCCCTCGCAGGGTGCGGAGCCGCAGCCGGCTCCTCCAGCCCCGCACCTCGCGGGGATCGCCGCCCGGCCGCGGAGGCGGGCAGCCCCGTCCGTGCCCCCGCGCGCAAGCAGGACTACCTGCTGGTCTCCAGAGACGAGTACCGCTCGGGCAGCACCTGCAGGCAGCGCTGGAAGAAGCGCACGTGCCGCTCCTTCAGGAACTCCAGCCTCTCCGCCTCCGCCCAGCTCGGCGCCGCCATCTTGCCGACACGCACTGCCGGCGCGCTGCGGCTGCGTCACGCGCGGCCCCGGAGTGACGTCACGGCGGGGGTGGGAGAGGAGCTGACAGGAGACGGCTGCGATTCCGGCTGGCGGCTCACAGCAAGCGGTGCTGAAGGGTAAAGCCTCCTGCTTCTTGTTTTTAAACACGGAACGGGTGTGTCTGCAGGGTTAATGTTTTCTGGTAAGAGCCGTCGCTTACCATTTCAGATTTTTTTCCTTCGTCAACCCGTTAGAAAGGCTAAAAATTGCTTTTTAGAGCAAAAAAGAGTAAGTTGTTCAAGTGACCAAGTTGACATGTGCCTCAGGTTAAAACAAAGAAAGATGGTGTGTCACCTTCTCTCTTAATTTGGCCAATCTCCTTTTTTTCCTTGCTTCTCTACTCCTTTACCTTGCTTTTACACAGTTTGTAGCTTAAGTTTTCGCAGATACTGAAACAGACAGAAGAGGATAAGCTAATTCCCTTATACATATTTTGAGTGAAAATAAATGGTACCAAAACATGTACGTATGCAGCAATTTGTCAGCTTTTGCCTTGACCTTCTTTTGCCCTGGTGCAGAATAAATTCACATTAAACAGTACTGAAAAATCACAAAGGCTGTCTGTCAATGAAATTTAGTGTGAATATGGACAGCAATACCAGTTCTCAAATAACAAATTCACACTGAGACAGGACATAACTAGATATTACAGCTACTGAAAGCAGCAGGATCGACAGACATTTACTTTTATGACTATATCTGTATGTAACAATTGGGTCTCTCACTCTCCATGGAAAAAAAAAAGTCGACATCAACTCAGCCATTTTTTCCCAAAGAGACTGAATTAAACAAAATCATCTCTCTATTTAGAAACACAGACTTCAATAATCCTACAGCCAGAACTCAAATATTGAGGAAAAGAATATCTTTGTCCAGAACAAATTTTTTACACTGGGTGTTGACAGACATTGTTACTCCTACCAAATTAAAAACAGATTTAAGTGAGTAGAACTAGAGTGTCAGGGATTTAAAAAAAAATCAAAAGTATGAAAATATTTAGCAGATTGAATCATACAAGGAAATTGGTAAATTTAACATAATTGTATGCGTGAATGGAGAGCTAATTACGAATTCACTCTTGAAATTCAGTAATTTCTTCTGCAGCAGTTCTCCTCCTTTTCAGCTTTCTCTCTTTTTTCCTTCTCAAGCTTCTCTTTGTTCTGCAAAGTATTCCTTTCCACCAGTAACTTCATGTGGCATTGGTGCTGGCATTCTTTTAGTTTCTTTTTCTCTTGCTCTTGCTCTAGTTTTACTTGTGATGCTTGTTCCATCGCAGATGTTATTGCTTTCTGTTTTTTCCATGCTGAAATTGCTGCCTGTTGTCGTCTTCTTTCTTCTGCTTTTTGCATCTGATCTTCATACTGAAGCCTTTGAACAATTTCTGATTTTTCTTTCTTCTTCAGTTTTTCTTCTTTTTCTCTCTGCTGCTTTTCTTTCCATTTCTTAATTAACTGCAGTAGAACAGCAGGAAATAAAAAAGATCTTCATTAAAAAAAAGTCTTACACATTACTGTTGATTGGGTCTGATAAAAATATGTGCTACAAGAATACAAACTGAAGATAGCATAACAAATCTATTTAAGGTAAAAAGACAAAAGAGCAGAACCTATTTCTGCCTTCTTACATTCATTTATTTTTTTTTTTTATTTTAGGCACCACACAGGGAGGCTCAAGACTGGCCAGCTGAAATAAGTTATGGAATTCATATTATCTTGGGATAATTATGACTACTGTTGTCTTTTTCCTCAATGCAAATTTATGTTTTTGTTTTGTTTTTTTTTTCTTTCTTCAGAATAGCAATTCTACTTTCTTCTTTTTAATGTATGTCTGTATATTTTTTGTTTTTCAAATAAATATAGTTCTTGAAGGAATTGTAGTTTTCTGCATCAGAATTTGACTGGTGTACTACTTACATAACGGGACAGACATTCTAAAGGACATGTAACAAGAACTGCAGCTTCAAATGGCATAGCTTACTGCTCTTGGCATCTAACATGCTGGACAATTTCCATTTAAGTATTTATAATACACTCTTGCAATACTCAGTCCATATCAGTATGCTGTCAGGTCTACATTTGTTTGTAATTCTTTAAGACAAAGATTTTGTTAAGTTGAGGATGCTAAAGAAGATTTCAGTTGCTTATCACCAACTGCAACAGAAATCCACTGAGCACTACCCCTAGACAAGCAAATACAAAAATAACAAGTGCATGTATTTTAAAAATATGTATATTTTCCTTAAAGCTACAAAGCCCCCAGAATAGTCATTTTACCTCTTTTTTTTTGTCTTGTAAAATGAGAAATTCTCGATACCATATGCCATGTTGTTCAACATCTTCTTTTGTTCTTCCACAGAGATACTCGAGGGCTTCATCCACGTAGGACAGCTTCCCTTTGTGTTTAGTCCATACTTTAAGAAAATTCTGATGATCACCATCATCCCAACCTCCTTGCCTCCCCCCTGTTTGCTGCAGAAATCTTTCAAACTCTACAACTTCTGCAGGTAGATGATTTCCCAGTGTTTTATTAACTGAGATCCTAGCTGACGGTAACTTCAAAACTTCTTCTGTTGTTGAGCTGCTCGTTGCCCACAGTTCCACTTTTTTCTCAAAGATGCTGAGCTCATTAACTGCAGTTTTTTCATCCTTCAAAAGCTGTTCATATCTAAGAAGAGAAAGAACACTGGAGTGTAAGAATCCAACAGTCAATGCTCACCGAAAATGAACTTTGGAACTGCTCAATGCCACAAAAAAATTATTCTTGAAAGATTAAGAACTGACATGGTAACACAGACGAGAACGTAGTTGTAACGATTCCAAATGAAGCACAATAGAATTTGAATTAAGTTACCCTTTTAGTGGAAGCATACGCATATGGGAGGCAAACAATTCACTCAATCCTCTCCTGACACCACAGGAAAGAAAGGAGAAAAAAAAGTTCACTTAAAAAAAACCAAACAATCTAAAACAATCTAATCTGTTCTGCAGCTTTTCTCTGAATAGCCTTTTTATAAGCAAATGGTTGTTATGTTAAACCATGCAACAACTATATTAACAGCCTCTTTGGAATGTTAATGTGTTAATTGTTTGAGTTTTGATTGACATACTACAGCAAAAGAGAATAGTTTGTTTGATTGATACAAAGCTTTCATTGTGTGTCAGGAAAGCATTTTTGTAACTGAAGCAGACATAAACGTACATTTGTCTCTGTTCATCTTTAAAAGTATTGATTGCAATTTCAATTTCTTCCAACATTTCCTTGAGCTCGTCAACAACTAAAAAGGAAAATAAGAACATATCACCTGAGAAGTTTAAAACATTTTAATAATAATTCTCCATTATCCATAATTGTAGAGAATATAAAGGGTTCTGAAATGTCATTATTTCAGAGTACAAAAAAAGCCACAATTCCACTTGTTTTACAAGACCCTCATTTATTCAAAAGGCATGATTTCACAGTGACTTAGTCAAATAAATACAAATCCTGATATAAATGTTTACTTCAGTTGAACAAAAATCTTATTCTAGGTAATCTTTGATTCAGAAAATGAGACAGCCTTATCCTAAAGTAAAGAGTTTCCACTTTTGTCTTTTGTAACAATGCAGTTAGTGACTTTGAAAGCACATTCTAATCTTTTTTCCCACACCAGACTGTACCAAGTATATTTAACCTACAGCTCACTGCTTTATTCAAAGCTGGGCTTACAAAGTGACTTCAGAAAGTAAGACTTGTATTCTGTACTGTCAGCATGCTGTAAACCTCATCTGCAGAGGGTGGGTAAGCCTGCTGTTTAGAGAAGACCTCTTGTGCAATGGTAGACAAATGTTTTGGAATGTGTGCGTTTTAAACCTGCAGAACAACCCTACAGATGCAATGAATACAGTTTAACTTGGACCTACCTGACACCATTATATCATCTGTAACTTTTAGTTCCACGTACATCTTGATCTGGCATCTTTGCTAATGATTTAAGGAAGATGCATTTTTTTTTTTTATAGTATAGACACTCAATAAATGAAATGACATGCATTTCATCTAGCATCCTCAGCTGCTACAAGAGCTTCAGCTTGAGTTCAATTACACTGCAGCAGATTTAAAAAAGAATTTTTCTTTTAGTGCTTGTTTCCCAAGAGGTTCAAATCAAACTGAACAAGTTGCCTCAGCATTTCATGCAGAATATTTCTGCTTGCGCTTCAAGCTAGATGGTCTGTGGATGGCTTGAAATTAGTTCCATGAAGATACTCTGTGACCTTCTATCAGATGATAAACTGCATTACAAAACTACTGTACATAAAAAAAAGCATATAGAAAATACTTGACTTCCAGCATTCTGAAAAAACAAACCCATGTAACTTCTGGGACAACATGTATTTCTCAGTTTCTGCTGAGAACTGCAAGAGGTTTTACCATTTCTGACATTTCTCCTTCCTTATCTCTCCCTTCCCAGATTCCTGGAAGAGCAAACAAACCACAGAAGCATCCGAAGACTGTAAGAGAATCATAAGCAATATTCAAAGGAACCTGTCTATGAAGGAAAATGTTTTAAAATCTGTTTGCATAACTTACATTCTGATGTATGTTTCACATCTTCCAGTTGTTGCTGAAGTCTCTTCACTTTATTACGTATTTTTGTTAGCTGCTGCAGGATTTTAGTTTCTGTTAAACAAAATAAAGTGCTGGTAGTCCTAATGGTTTCTTTGTCTAATAAATTCCATGCAAGATTAAAAGCAACAAAGCATCCAAAATAAACCAGTAATTTCATTCAAGCAGTAAGTTCTGTTTAATCACATGAAACTGCTGTTCATACCACCCATTTTAACATAACTGCAACTACATGTAGCTGAGTGCGTGTACTATACATCTCCTCATCAGGTTTTAAAATTAGTAGCTTCTTTCTAACGGTGTCAACAGTGTAGTCACATACAGATTAATGCAGTTTTCTCTAATGTTTTTATCATGTAACTGGATTAGGAGAACAATACTGCCTGTAAAGAAAGCAACTCCACCTCCGTTATGAGTCAGACTCTCTCCTATACCTCAGAACAAACTTGGAATCATAATGAAGAAAACAACTTACATAAATCTAGTTAGAAATCATATGGTATTTGCTGTGTTAACTGAAGTAGAATTAGTGTTTGCAGGAACTTCAAGCATGCATGTGCTTATTTACTTTGTTACCATTTAGGAGTTTATGAGTTTGTAGGCACTATTAATTAGCATGAAGCTCTGGGCCATTTTAAGGTACTACAGAGTCCTCTATCCTAAAAGGATTGGTTTATAGGAAGAAATAAGTAATAGAGTCCAAAATCTAATGAAACATAGCTAATACGTGATCCTACTAATTCACAGTAAAACTACAGAACAAGTAGAAACACATAGGTTGTGTTGAAAGACCTTAATGAAGTAGCACAGTAAATGAGAAGCCTGGGAGATATATATATGCACCCAGAAGATCCTACCCTAACACTTTCACATCTCACATCTAGTACCTTAAAACTCTTTTTTATATTTTTATCTTGCAACACTATATATACCCATACTTTCATACTTCTCCTTATACCTGAAACATTTTCTGATCTTTTTAGCTTAGTCATTCCTTGGAAATATTCACATTTCTTAAGGATTGTAAGATATAAAAAATAGGACAAGATCTGTCAGTTAAGATATCCATATTGAAATACATACAGATTTGTGAGGAAAGTGTATTTCCAATTGTTTCCTTGAAATCTTCCCCTTATTCAACTTACATAGTTTTGATATTCTGTATCAAAAGACATAGCTTGATTTGATTACTTTCAAAAAATTTAGGTACTTCATCCAGGTTGTCACTTTCTGTCTTTCACCATTTAATTAGTATGGCAAGTGGAAAAGATGATACAGAACACACTATGTTTATCATCTCACAGAACTATTTGCACGATGAATATTATTATCCAAGAAAGAGAAAAATGCAGCCACAGAACTGAAGAGTTCAAAAGCCAGTTTGTAGGCAGGGTAAGAAAACCTTCTTTTATGTATCTTAGCAAGATTATAATAGATTTTGCAGAAATCTGTTATAATCCTACAGAGTGATTGAGATAAGACTGAGGAATGATTGACATAGGAAATCTAAATTAAGCATACAAAACTGCTTCTAAGTTTCTAAAACAGTAAGATTTCACCTAAATTTTTGTGAGTGGTATCTGCTGCATTTAAGTCTAAAAGAAAACAATAATAGAGAAGGCTCAAGATGTTTATGCTACTGAATTTTGAAAGTGAATCAAGAAATTGTTCTTTACAACCATCAGTAAAATAGTTCAATCATCAGTAAGACACTTCAATCAGAATCTACCTCTCAACCACACTAATCTTTCTAACACTGCTAATTAAAAAATTAAGCAAACAGCTGTAAAAGTCAGCAAGCAAACAGAAGAAAAAAACATATGAAAACAACACCCCCAAAAAGGTATCTTACTTTCAGTTTTCCTATCGACAGACATTTTACACTCCAGTTCTTCCAGAATGCTGTATTCTGCTCTGGAATCACTCTTCCTATTGTAAAAACATCCATTTTTGTCCTTCTGTATATTTGCAAGCCTGAAAAAATAATATTGCCACATTAAGCAAGCAACACTTTGTAAAGCAGCAAGATTTTCCAACATTAGTATATAGGTGATACTGGTCAGCAGAAGCATCTCATATTTTGTACAATTTACTGGTTTTACTCCTACTACCGTTCTCAAGGGAAACTCTTCCAGTTATAAGCCCATGCAACGAAGTAACCCAAGAATGTGGACAAGCAAGTTAAAGAGGAAATTATCTAATGGACAAGTAGTGCTTCACACAGTAAAACAGTGAGAAGCTTTATCTGCATGATGAATGCTTACTAGGGAGCCTTATGAGAAGAAAGCACTGATGGGACACAGGCTGTATTACTGCACTTGCACACATAGATGGAGCCCCAGCAAAGACAAAACAAGTGTATTCCCTCAGGGTTATTTACACTGGCAGTGGTACTACTGCAACTGAATATTCAAATTCAAGTTCATTAAAATTGGAATAACTCAAAATATTAAAGCTGCTACCGTTTGTCACATACAGATTCAGTCCTGTATATTTGTTTCCTTACCAGGGTAAGAAACTTTCAAATACAACTCAAACTATGTTCTGCTTTTTTCTACTACAACTAGGCACTTTGCTAAAATTTGACCCAGAGAAGCACAGATGCAAAACCACCACAGAAACTGAAGTCCATAGCATATCTGTGTAATTTGGTGCTACCATTAAGAGATCAGAGCAGTACCCACTGATGCCATGCTGAACAGAGATGCAGCAGTTAGCAGTGTCAAGCAGAACTACTGACAACCCAAAAAACCCTGTCTCTCAGAATGAGATTGTTTCTACAGTAGGCTATAGATGCTGTGTAGTTGAATCCTCTACACAGCACAGAGATGCCTTCATAGTTTAAATGCTTTGCTGCCCACTGGAGTTCACGGACCAGACGAGAGTGATAAAATCTACCACAGTGTACAGGAAGCCTTAAGAGCACAACTACAGAAGGACTGAAGTGTGCCATAGTTAATGGCATCCAAAGCTGCTTGAGAATCCCTACATAACTCAGCAGTCAACTTCTGAGCCATTATCCAGACTCCAGGATAATTAGAGGAGCTGATCTAATCAGATGGCAATGTGTCTCCATGAGACCACATAGCTCATTCAAGATTTCTAACTAGAAACTTCTGCCACCTGGAGTTGGCTGGCTAAGCCAGATACAGCCCTTATTCAAGACATAGGGAAGCACATTTAAATTACTACTGTGCTTGAGCTGTCCTGAATTCCCATTTTCAAAAGCACCAATATTCTAGAAGTGCTCTCAATTTTGTATGAGGAAGCTCCTTTAATGCTGCTACTATTTCTGCTTTGTTGAGATGTTTTAAAGGCTTTAATTCCCTAGGAAGGCTAGCACAGCTAAGTAGGAAAACTAAGAACTCAATAATGCTGCAAGCACACCCAAGTAGAAAAACAGGGAACCAAGTAATGCCACAGGCACTTCCATTTTTGTGAATCAACTGAGCATTAGCAAACTGAAGGAGACAACTGATCAAAGTCCAGGTGGTAATTAAAACAAGGGGCAACTTCAGAGCTCAGAAGCTTATCCTAAATTACTATAACCATCATAATAATCTACCTGGGATTCTGCAAATGAAATTGTAGCCTCAATACTTAATTACCATGAATTATTACCTTTAAGCATAATTTATATTATAGAGTCACAGAATTACAGAGATTGGAAGGAACCTCTGGATATTATAGAGTTCAACACCCCCACAAAAGCAGGTTCCCTACACTAGGTTGCACAGGAAAGTGTACAGGTCTCAAATCCAGAGGAGATTGCACCACCTCTTTGGGCAGCCTATTCCAGTGCCCTGTTACTCTCAGGATAAATAAGCTCCTCGTGTTTGTATGGAACTTCCTATGTTCCCAGCCCATCATCCCTTTTTCACAGAGTCCACTCCCAACAACCTGGCTCTCATATTTAAGATATTTGTAAAGAGTGGTGAGATTCCCTCTCAACCTTCTCTTCTCCACACCCAAGAGCCCCAGGTCTCAGGCTTTCCTCATTCTGGAGATATTACCTTCAGAACAGCATGAAATTACACTCAAGTTTGGTTTTTTGTTTGCTTGGGTTTTTTTTTTGTTTTTTTTTTTTTTTTTTTTTTTTTTTGTTTTTTTGCTTACTGAGTTCTTAAATTTTCTGCTATTCTTACAAATTCTGCTTCCTTAGCTTGTTCAGCTTTCATCTTGCAGTTCTGAATTTGTCGAGCAGCACCTGCAGCACTGAAAAAACTGTCATTCTGTAAAATAAGACAAAACATTTGTTTTTAAATACTGGTTGTTTTCAAGCAGACGATGCTGAGATCATGAACAACACGACTTCAGTGTTACACTGCTGTACTTCAAAGAACTTGTCATGCCGGTACAAAAGTGATGGGATAGCAAACCTAGGTGTGAATATAAAAAGGCATCCTTCAGCTGAGAAATGGAACGAACAGCAACTCACTTTAGCAGAGAGAGCTGATCTCACTGACCCTGCAGCCTTGCCTTCATGGCTGCTTTTACCCGAAGATTCAGAGGTAACTCAGCACTTGGTGGTAAGCACACAACCAGCGTTAGGCAGACCGTGCCGTCTCGTCCAAGGAAAGCACGCCGGCCTGACTTCTGAAAGCCTCTTAATATTCCTCGCATACTGTTAACTCTTAATTCACAGCAACTTCGCAGCTCTCCCGCCACGCCCCGGCCCTTCCCGCCTCTCTGGACGAGCCGCCCGCGCCCTCGCTGCGCGCTCTGCTCTCCGTGAGCAGCCGGCGAGGCGGGCTTTGCGGTCGGGCCTTTACCTGCTGCTGCTGCCCCAAGGCCGCCGCGCAAACCGTAGCCAACGCAGCCATGTTGGCCGCCGGCAGCCGCCGCCGTCCCGCCCCGCGCCGGGCGTGGCCGTGGGTCCGTCCGACGGGCGCTGTTGAGCGAGGGCTGCTCGCCGCCCTGTGGGACTGCGGTGTAACGCTGCGGAGCGTTTAGTGCTTCAGACGGGGCGCTGACATTGTAGGGAGTGGCATTCGCTCTGGTGCTCTGAAGGGAAAACCTGATCTGGGGAAAGAGGTCCTGAATTCCTGGGCTGGGGATAGTGTGCAGGGCCTTCAGCAGCGTGGCACGGGCGGGAGGTGACTGCCCTGGGCCTGGTTCTGGCAAGAAATAGAGATTTATGTTATTCAGTACAGTCAAGCTATCATCACAGAATTACAGAATGGCCTGGATTGGAAAGGACCGCAGCGGTCATCGAGTTTAACCCCCCTGCTATGTGCAGGATCACCAACCACCAGACCAGGCTGCCCAGAGCCACATCCAGCCTGGCCTTGAATGTGTATCAAAATCTCATTTTTCACTCACACGTATTCACAAAACTTCCAAGGAGTTGCCATTCAGGTTTTCTATTTTTATGCTGTTGCATATGGAAACAACTACACTATACATTTCACTTGTGAGAGAGAAGCAGAAATATATTTACTCATTTAGTACAGATGTAATGCAGTGATCTAATGTGTCAACAGGATTTGAGATGGCTAGAGACGCTGGATTATTTACCGCATGGAGGGCAGGGTTAAACAGAACACACATAGGGATCCTGGGTTCAGCTGAGGCAGTGTAAAAAGCACATAGATGTTTTCATTATTAGTGAGTGATAGATGCCACAGTGGAGAAGAGCTGCTGCCAGGATGGCACAGCAGCAGAGGATGGGACAGAGCCAGGACAGCCAGCCTGAATCAGGCATGAGGTTATTCAATACCATGTGACATCGTGTGCAAGGCTGTAAAGCTGTGGGGAGTTGGCTAAGGGCATGCTGCTCTTGAGAGTATGCCGGGTGTCAGTCAGCAAGTGGTGAATAATTGTGGATATAGTACACATGTGCATAGTTCCCATTTCATTTCTGTTTCTGTTTTCCTTTTCTGTCTTATTAAATAGCTCTTATCTCAACCAATGAGTTCTGTTTTATTTTCAGTTCTCTCCCTGGTCCATCTGAGAGTGAGTGAGGAAATGGTTGTTATGTGCACAGTTGCCTGCTGGATTAAACCACTCCTTTCAGCACCCAATATGAGGCTTGAAGGGTTGACATAACAGCACATCTGACCAGTTGGTGTGTGGCTGCTCCCATCTCACCCAGGGCTGTGAGTGCAAAGGAAGGGCATTGCACAGCCAGAGCGCTGGGACTGCAGCATAGTCAGAGGAGATGCAGCTAGGATGGTCTCTGCAGCTTTCTCACACCCAAAAAACCAAGGGCCAGCTTCTCATCACCTTCAAGTGAAAGCAGGATAGCAGGAGAAACAAGCCAGAAACAGGCTGGAAAGTTGGACAGCGGAAACTAGTGAGGCTGGATAAGAGCAAGTGCAGAGAGCTACATCTGCGGGGGAATAATTGCACACATCAGTAAAGGTTAGGGGCTGACTTGCTGACTTGCTGGGCAGGAACTCTGCAGAGAAGGACTTAGGTATCCTGATGGATAACAGATTGGCCATGAGCCAGCAGTGTGCCCTTGTGGCCAGGAAGACCAAGGGTACCCTGGGATTGCATTCAAAGAGTGTGGCTAGCAGGGCAAGGAAGTTTATCTTCCACCCCTATTCTGCCCTGGGGAGGCACATCTTGAATACCGTGTCCAGCTGTGGGCTCCTCAGTACAAGAAAGACAGGGAACTATTGGAGAGAATCTAGTGAAAGGCTACAAGGATGATCAATGCCACAGGCATCTCCCTCATGAGATTTGAGACTGCAGCCAAGAGAAGAGGAGCAGGAGGTGATCGTAACAATGCTTATAAATATCAGAAGGTTTGAAGTCAAGTGGATGGGGCTAGGTTCTTTTTAGTGGTGCCCAGCAACAGGACAAGGGATAACAGACACAAACTGGAACACAGTACAAAAAAGTTCCATAGAAACATGAGAAAGAACTCAACTACCAATTGAGCTGGCATTGCTTAGTCAAAGCTCTTACATACTGTAGAAGGAGACAGAGCCCCTGCTGTACTGAAAAACATGCTGGATAAGACACCAGTGTTATGAGTGCCTTGGGCAAAGGCAAGACTATCAGAGGAATAGCTTTTGAACCTTGGTGAGTGATGCAGGAGAATGGTGAAGTCTGATGTGTACCTTAAGGAGTTCTGATGTTGGTGAGAAGAGCCAATAATTTGAGTTATATAATACTGCATGTAATCACTGCTATGGTTGCTATATGCCTTATAAACAGTAGTACTGTAAGAGTCACCCATATTAATGAATTTTGACCTTTTTTTTTTCAAACCAGAACTGGCTCCAGCATGCAACAATCCAGCATCATGCATTATCTCTCCTGCCCTGAAGGGCTGTTGTGATAGATGGAGCACAAGTCAGGCTAAATGAATTCCATGGACATTTTACAGGGTTAGCCCAAAGACTATGGAAATGATATCTGTGTAATAAATCAGGATGTCTGGGAAAGCGTGGGACCTGAGCACGATATAAATTATATGGAAAAAGGGTTGGATATTGTCCTGGTTTCAGCTGAGTCATTATTAACAGCACACCAGTGTTTGGTTACTGCTGAATGATGGGTTCTGCGCTGGGCTCAGCTCCTCAGTGGGGAAGAGTTGCTGTTTTAATGGCACTGTGGGAGGGAGAGTCAGGGCAGATGGCCTTGATTTGGCAGGGGACAATTCTATACCACATGGCATCATACTGAAGGCCATAACTCTGTGGGAAGTTAGATGGGGACTGGATGCTGCTCATGGTCTGGCTGGACACTGGTTGGTGGTGGTAAGACATTGTGTTGCTAGTGAGGTATGAGCTGGCAAACAGTTGCCGTGTTAGCTGAGTGTTGGTCAATGGGTTGTGAGTAATTGCACTGAGAATATATATATTCGTATAGTTATAATCACATATTTCTTTCCATTTTCTATTTTTTTTTTACTTAGAATTTTTTTTAACTTATGAATTCTATTTTGTCTCCAGTTGTCCTCCTTGTCCCTCTGAACAAATGGCTATATGGTGTTCTGCTGTCTGCCAGGTTAAACCACAATAACAGGAGCTCCTCCCATTGAGTCAAGAGGTTCAGAGAGGACCTTAAACTCCTTGAACCACAGAGGTAAGGAATCTAGATGTGGCTAGATCCACTGTTAGTTCCAAGTCTGTGGTCAGTGGTTTATGTCTAAGGGATCCTATGTGCACAAGCAATTAAGTTGTAATCTTAGTGAAGGTAAGAAAGCTTACCATCAATCTGAGGTATAATCTCAGTGAAACTATTGAAGCTTAGTACAGTTAGTCACTTACTAAAGATCTGCATTGGCAGCATGTCTTGACGCCAAAGCATAAGGGATCTCTGTGCAGTCAAAACCACAGGATGCATCCCTTCTCAAGGGAAGATCCTGCTGTGCAGCCTGCTGCCCTGCAGAAGAGCTTAAGGGGCTTTTGTGCTGCTCATTATTTACAGAGTAAGATGATTGACTCATGATCATATGTTTTTTCTTTAAGCACGTACTCAACTGGCATTCAGTGTCTGAACCAGATGTCTGTTACCAGTTCTTTCAGTCCTCCAGTTAGTCATTAACTGCTGTATTGAGAGTGTTTCCTGCACTCTTGCTGAAGCTGTACATGCTCAATGCTTTCAAAGAACTTTTGGCTGGCCTACTTGCATCAGAGAAGTCAGCTCTGGGCATGGCAGTGGTTGGGTTTGGGGAATCCAAAGCAAACTGTGCACTGTCTCTATTTCTTCCAAACTGTGGCTGTGCCCAGGTCAACCAGATGGTGAATTCTTGTGGAGAGGTCATAAGAAGGGTGAGGAACTACTTAGGATAGGGAGCTGGTTAATGCACAAATCTAGTAAAAATGAATAGAAAATAAAGCTAGCTAATCCTCATCATAAATACATAGGAGCTAAACAATACTGAAAACTGTATTTTCTATCAAATGATGCATTATGTCCAACCTACAAAAATTCTCACGAAATTACAATCTGCTGTGGTTAATCTGTACAGTGTAGAGTTTCTGACACTGCTGACACTGTTGTAAGATTGAACTGGGAGTATGGAGAGGGATACCAGTGTTGTATTGTAGTTTCTCTCAGTGTACTCAGAGTTGTAGCACTTTGCGTCTCAGAATAGGCCACATGCTGAAATTTCTTCACGGTCTCTCTTTGAAAAGAGAGATTGAAAATCTGATTGGAAACCACATAAGTATTTCAGAATTTATACCTATATAGTAACATGTTTACTGAAAATGTTTGCAGGGCTATGACAGTTGAGGATAGCAGTGACAGTCCTCAGTCTTGCGTAAAGAAAAGTCTGCAGGAAGAACCTGTGTTGTGACACTATTGTAAGCACAAGGCATCTGAACTGAGATTAGGATTTCAGATAATTGGGTTCATTACCACTTATTTCCTCTGTGAGCTTGTCAGGCATGCTTGTTCTGAGAAGAGAAGGTGCTAACAGCATTTGCCTTCTTGACAGGAGAGGGTTGAAAAAGTAACCACTTAAAAAGATAGAGGTATTCTGGCTTGGATTTGATCTGAGAAAGGCTGCAATCTGCTCTACCGGTCCCCACTTCACCTGCAGTTATCTCTGGCTATGGTGACAGCTGTGATATCTCTGGCTACAAAAGCTCTTTGATGTCATGAGATCTGAGAGCATCTGAGGGGACTTTTGACTTTGCTATCTCAAGCTCCAAGAGCAGCCATTAGGTGTGGTGAGGCAGGACATGGATATACACAGAAGAAGTAAAACCAGTAAGATCTATGGAAACTGTCTACATATAGAACCAACCCCCCATTCTTCTTTCCCTCCCCCCCGCGCCCCCCCAAAAAAAAAAAAAAACACCAAAAAAACAGCAAGCAAACAAACAAAAAAACCTTCCAAATAATTGCAAAAAAAAAGCACTCTGTCATCTTGGAA